CCCCAATATAACGCCGAATATTGCCCCCCCAATTTTCCCTATAAAACCCCAAATTATACACCAATATTCCCTTAAAACCGTAGTGAAGACTCCAACAGTCTTAGGTCTGGGCAGACAGCGCTGGTGGCGGGAGTGACGGTGCGGATAATGTGTGCGAGCTACCCCCCTAAAGTGGTTTGAGGTATATGGGTAGGGGTATAAAATGGTTTAGGGTTTAGGGTTTTAAGAGAATATAGGGGTATAATAGGGTTTAGGGTTTAAGGTTTAGGGTTCAGGGTTGAGGGTTCAGGGTTTAGGGTTTAGGTTGATGGGTGATTATAGGTGATGGCAGTTTGTTCCATTTTCTGAGGCCGCCGCGGCTGGACAAGTAACATGTGTGTCAATGTTGTGTTTGCTGCAGTTCATGAAGTAAGGGGAATGCCCCAAACTAGCATGTTATCCTAGGGCCCCAGTGGATGCATGTGCCTTGTTTCGCAGATCCGCGCAAAATTCCTGAAAGGTTCAAAAGCTATTCAAAATTGGGCGCACTACTTCTTGGCAACCCCTCGGACCCGAACCATGACCCTAAATTTCCTGGCTACCGTCATGTACCCACTCAAAAGCCAAAAACCTTCAAACGGACCTTATTTTGCAGAACCTAAGCTCCAAACCCTAGACCCCTAAGCCCCAAACCCCAAACCCCAAACCTTAAATCCCCCTAAACCTAAACCCTAAACCAGTGCGCAGGTGCTTGGCATGAATTACTTCCCCTTCCTGCTTCCGACTTTGGATCCGGCCAAATGGAAGCTCCAGCGGTTCGGTTGAGAGCCGGGGTTTAGGCAGGGTCTTTCCTTCCTCAAAGTCAATCGCAGGACGAATAGGGGGGTTGTTCTTCAGAACGACAACATTTTTTTCGGACTTCATGCGAGCTTAGTGGAGGGTATGAAGGGGTTCTACCAGGATTGAATGGGGAGGTTGCAAAAACATAGTACGTTCAGCGTCTTCAGATTCTGGGCAAGTGTAAATGGGGGCTGCCTTTTTAGGCGGTCGCAATGCAATTCATTGCTGTGACTGAGGGGTCCTGGATTTTGTCCTCGTCCCAAAGGGGAAAGCGCGTATCTGAAACGCCACACATCCCAACCTTTGCTGTTGGCAAACATGATGGTCACTACGGTCATTGCTGTTAATACCCGATACTTCTTTTCGTTATTGTTGTTGGAGTTCGTGTATGGTACTTGTCCTATCTGTTCCCACACGACATTATCATCCACGTGAGTTGTGCAAAGGTTCATGAGTATGATTAATCAGAGGGGGTATAGAGGTTATGTAAGAATGAAAAGAAATGGAGTATACCATATGCTATATGCTGGAAAGACCCCAAACCCTTGAACCCTATAACCACATTCATTAGGTTTAGGATTTGAGGATTTCGCAGTTGTACGTTGAAGTTCATGTGCGGGCCAGTCGAACAAGGTGGGGCTTCCACGCGCAGAGTCACGAAATCCATGTCCGCGCCTGAGATTGACCCACTGTTGCTTAGTAAGGAGTAAGGGAATGTGATCCCAATAGGATACTATATTTTCTTATTCCCTACTATACCCGAGCAAGTTAATCAAGGGGTTTTGGTAATCCCAACCCGCCCCCCCCAAAAAAAGACAACTTTCTAAGTATCATGTGATTGCACTGATGTCCTAATTTTGAGGGTTGGGGTTAAAATCCGCCTAAAGTAGATAGAATATGTGGTGTATGGGGATCTCGTTGAAATATACCCGAAGCCATATTCTATCTACTTAAGGGGGACTACACTTCCTAAATACAAAACCTAGACCCTACATAGTGGTTTCTATTTTCTTTTCCATTATCCCAATAGAACCGCAAAATCTATATGACCCCAAGAATCCCTGTAGTTTCCATTTTATTTTCCATTATCTCAATATAACTACTTAAAGGGGACTGTATCCACCTCTGAAAGATGCCAGTACATAGGGGAAGTTCTCTAGGGGAAGGGCTTATGCGCAGAGCTGAAGGGCCGGTCCGTTTGGTCTTGCCAGCCTTGTGCTATCCATCCTGGCTTAGGGTTTAGGGTTTAGGGTCTGGGGTTGAGGGTTTAGGGTTCGCGCTAAACCCTATATTTATCTATATTTTAGACCCCAAACCTACCTTTCTTGCCTCTGTTCAAGAAGGTTTCGCGTGTTTGCCCAGGATGAAAAGAGGGGGCTATAAATTAACCTGGAACCCTAAACCGTAAACCCCAAACTTTGTTTAGACTATAGCTATAGCTTATATGGGCACCCTAAATCCCTAAACTCTAAACTCAAAGACCCTAAACCCTTAAATCCTAAACTTACCCCCAAACCCTCCTCAAGCGTTTTGGACTTCAGGCTCTGCGCCTGCTGCATATGGAGATCCACTTGCCGCCCGAGACCATCACCTCGGAGGCATCCTTATCTCCAAGGTTTTGCTGAAGGGTTTAGGGTTTAGGGTTCAGCGTTTCGGCTTGAAAGTTTAGGGTTTGGGATATATAGTGTATGCCATGAAGAACGTTCCTACTAGCTTAGCACTTTTCCATTTTAGGTGGCTGCATTTTCTGGATTATAGGTACAAAGGAAACCATTATTGCCGGGGTTAGTGAAGGACAGCGGATAATGGAGAATCAGCTGGACAAGACCGTTCATGACCCCTGCAGGCCTAAACCCCGAACCCTAAACCCTAAACCCTAAACCCTGAACCCTAAACCCTGAACCCTAAACCCTAAACCCTGAACCTTAAATCCTAAACCCGCTTCGCAACCCGCTGCGGAACCCTCCTACCTGCTCTGAGGCTTATTATGTGGAAGAAGACCCCCAGAGCTAAAGCTGTTGGGGAACAAGGAGAAACTTCATTTTTGTTGGGATTGTACTGTAGGGTCGTATTTTTTGATTGCTTTGGGGTGCCATCATACAGGAAGTCTAGCAGCATTCCAGGGGATAGTAGGCTTCTAGTTTACGTTTTGTAAGCACCCACCATTGGAAACTCGTCTCCAGGAATAGCTTGAAACATGATTTTCGAAACTGGAAGCGCGAAGGTCTTGCGGAAGGCCAACCTGCTTCGTGCGAGACTTCGCGAGGCCGGTAGGGTTTAGGGTTTCGGGCTTGGGGTTTTAGGGCTTGCAGCTTTTGGTTTATGGCTTGGGTTTACGACCGTGGGTTTATGGTTATGGTGATTATTTGGAACCTCCGTATTTGTTGGTAATCCCCACGCAGCCTTTTGGGTTCCTAGAGGGGTACGCAAGGGTGCAATCCTTTAAGAGGGACGGCGTCAGATCCACCCTAAACCTTAAACCCTAAATTAGTTCGTGGGATTGTTTTCTAGACCAGGAGAGTGCCACTGCAACAGGGCAGTCTTTTCAGAACTGCCCCGAATTTGTCCTCAAGTTTGGCGCCATCCTTTAGTTACTGCCTCCACTCAGTAACTGTTACACTTCACAACGGTTTAAGGTTTAGGATTTAGCGTTGAGGGTTTGGGGCTCAGAATTTAGGCTTTATGGTTTGGGGTGTGTAGCCCTTCACATTAGCCTTATTATAGACTGTTACTGTGTGGGGGCAGTACCCATCCGCAGCCCTACACCTTAAACCCTTACAGTAACTCTAAACCCCAAACCGCGCGAATGCAGGCGCTTCTGCCAGCAGAAGGGCAGAAAGGTGGCAAGAGAAGCAGCGCCCCCGTGACTGCAATAGCAGAAATGTAAGAGCTTAGGGGTTATACAGTGCGCACATTGGGTTTGTATAGCATGTAGGAGTTGTTTAGGGGGCTTTTAGGGATTATGTCTGGATGCTTAGTGCAATAATCGGGAATCAATTGGAAAGGGAAACATCATGTGACATGGAAACTGGGTTTACGTATGGTTTTAGACGGACTGTCATGTAGAAAACCCTAAACCCTAAGTCCTAAACCCTAAACCCTGAACCCTAAGCCCTAAACCCTAAACCCTAAGCCCCAAACCCTAAACCCTGAACCCTAAGCTCTTAACCCTAAACCCTCAACCCTAAGCCGTAAACCCTAAACCCTCAACCCTAAACCCTAAAAGAATTACCAGCCTTATGGTCCCAGATTCCTTGTCTAATTATGGTATAGGGTACTTGAAAAAGACTTCAAAGCGGCATTCCTACTTTAATTAGGCCCCTACTGCACGGGGTTTCCCAGAATTTTGACGGTTTTTGCGTGGCCCTGATTATAAGGACTAGGGTACACAGAGGGCCTAGTTTTTGAGAGGTACTCTTGCAAGTCATCATGATGGGAAGCTATCAGGGTGACTTTTTTCCTTGGCTTTGCATTGCTTCCAATCTTGCTGTCAAACAGCATGTCAAGCACGGTCCTGCATGATCAGGTTTGGGCTTGTGCGCAGGATGGGAATTTGCAACAGCGGGGGAAACCAGTTCGCTCGACGATGCTTCTTTTAATACGTCCATGGGATACCACCCCAACTGGCAACAGGAATTTCTAGCTTCGTTGCAAAGTTTGCCGCATTCCTTTCTTTTTCAGCCGCTTGTTGCGGCACCAGAAATTTGCTAGCTTTTGCATCTTGTTATTTGGCCACATGTTCTAAGGTCATGAACCGCATGCATCAAGACGCGACCGAACAAACAAGAAGGTGGAGGTATAGCGGGTCGTTGTTGAAAGTTGTCTTTCATTTCTTTTGTTCATGATAGGAAAGCCCAAGCAGGAATATGAGACCAACAGTTTCAATAGTATCCCTATATAAAAGGAAAATCTTCAACAGCGGTCCAACAAAGACTGGTATGCAGAGGGAAGGACCCTACACCCTAAAGACCAAATCCCTAAACCCGTAAACCGCAATCAGGGAATAGATTATATTCCCTCCTTGCCTACTAACCACCTGTAAGATATCAGCTTCTGTAGGCATAGCATATGCGCATATGTTTTTGCATGTGTTCGTATAGCTTTTAATGTATGTGTATGTACGTTATGTTGGTGTTTATGTACACAGCTAGTAAAGGTTGTGGAGGTTTCGAACCGCTCAGGCCGTGGGCTTCTTGGCAATCCCTGACCTCCGGCGCGAGATGGCAGCGAGTCTGAAATCTCACCCCTTGGAAACCAAACGGTAGTGGCAGTGATTTTACTGGTTCTAAGTAGGGAAGAAGGGAAGGTTATCTCGGTATGATATGGGTATGATATCCCCTTATTCCTTACTAAGATCCAGGAAGGGACGGCACAGGTGATGGTGGAGTTTGTGGTGTTGATTGTGGCATAAATGGTGATGGTCCTGCTGGTGGTGGTGCTGCTTTTGCTGGTAGTGGTAGTGGTGGCCAGTTGTGTCATGATTCGAGTTAGACTCTGACCTGAGGTTTCCGGTGTGTCTAGTTATCTACTAGTCTGTCTGCAGCTGGTGATGCCATACATCTACGAAGATCTGGCTGTGGAATCCCTACATGAGTAGTATTTTATTTGGGGATACTATGGTACCCATTATAGAGTAAGATTGTATCCTCATGTGGTGTAGTATTTTATATAAGGAATATTATCTTACTAGGTTCAACCAGCAAAAAAACACTACTCATATAGTCCCTAAACAATCTCCCTCTATAATCTCTGCAGAACATATTCCCTTATTCCCTACTTAGCCCCAGTAAGCTTGGCAGATCTATGTGCACAAAGGGAAATTGAGTGGTATAGGGACTATATAGAGATTATAAAGAGGCTATTTAGGGATTCTAGAAGGGCTATATAGGGACGATATGGCAAGGGATTACAATACTACCCCCTCCAAAGGTACCCCCCCCCAGCTTTAGAACCCTATTAGGCCTTATCAAGCTCTATATAGTCCTTATTAGCTCCTTAAACCCTGGGGGGGTACCTTTGCAGGGGGTACTATTGCAATCCCTTTTTCTGGGTTGGCATAGTGACTGCCAGCGGGGAGCCACCCAGGCTGACTTGTTGGATGAGATTTGGGACGAGCCCTACCCTGTCCAACAGGCCAAGCGCATTATCTGGGGCCACTCAGCTGATTTGTTAGGGTTTAGGGTCTAGGGGGTTTAGGGGTTTAAGGGTGTAGGGTTTACCATTTTCTGGGTTGCTGTTAAGGAACTTAAAGTTAAATTGCTATGATAAGGAAACCTTTTGAGTTACTGCATACATATATTATGGTAACTCAACTCAAGTTCCTTAGCAGCAACCCAGTTTCCTGTACAGTGCTTGCTGACTTTCTCAGGGATTGTATACAATCCCTATACAGTGTGCGTGTAGTCCCCATTAATCCCTATATATAATCCCTAGATAGTCCCTAGTCGTCCCTAGGTTCGCAGAATTCCACAGAACCATTGCCCTAGATTTGCCAAGCTTACTGGGGCTTTGTAAGGAATACATCAAACACGGGTTATATAGGGACTACATAGGGATCATTTTTCCTCATTCCATACTAGGAATCCGTAAGCCAGTAAGCAGCATGTGGGTATGGTTGTGGCCAACCCGGGGGTGCTGACAGGTTCGCGAGATCGCTGCAATTACCACACCTGCAGGGTGGAGCTTGAGTTTAGGATTTGGGCTTAAAGTTTAGGTATGAGGGAACACTTGAGGTTCCAGATAACTGTGAACTGAAGCAAGCACGGCGCAACCTTAGCAGTGAATCAGAATCAGTTTTCAGATGCTCATGAACTGTCCTGCAGATTCCCTGTTCCGATAAACCCCTAAACCCCCAAACTCCAAACCCTAAGCCCCTAAACCGATCCCTACACCCTAGCCGGCCCTAGCCCCTGAACCCCGAAACCTAAAGCGTGTGTCGTTTGAGGCTACGGCGCTGATGAGGCTGAGGCCTGGTCTGTCAGCTCATAGCGTCGGTGGGCTTGGGGGTTATAGGGTTTTAGGGTTTAGGGCTTAGGGCCTAGGGCTTAGGGTCTAAACGCCGTAAAGCGCGGTTATACAGGGGATCGAAGGGTTAAGCGTTTAGGGTCTAAACTCCTTAAACGGGGTTGATTTAAGGGAGTCTTGTAGGGTTTAGGGCTTAGGGTCTGAACTCAAAGGGGGGTTATATAGGGGATTGTAGGGTTTAGGGTTTGAAACCCCCTCAAACGGGGTTATATAGGGGATTATAAGGTTTAGAGTTTGGGGTTTAGGGTCTAAACTCCTTAAATGGGGTTCTATAGGGAGTATGGTAGGGGTTAGTAAGGCGGATGCTAGGAGCCTCTTGTGCTTTGTTCTATGTATTTTTCTCGTGCCCAGATTGCCCAATGGATTTCAATCACGGAACATGTCCACATTTCTAATCTTAAAGTTTAGAACCCTAAACCCCAAACCCTGAACCCTAAACTATTATCAAGCAACTTTAGCAACCTTGGCAACAGTTGCAATTTCGGCACGCAAACACCTTAGTAGGGCTTGGGGTTTAGGGCTTAGGGTTCAATGTTTAGGGCCAAGGGTTTAGGGTACAGGGCTGTTGGAAGTATAGTAGACAAAGAACATGCCTCATTTTCAGCTGCCCACCAGCTTTAGGTGAAAGAGGTGTGGCAAAGCAATGCTCCTAACAACTGCGGTAACCAGTAGCAGGTGGCGTTTCACATGCCTTTCCTAAGTAGACAGGTAGTTTCCCAAAAAGGAGGACCCCAAAACGATAGTCTTTATTTTAGGGAGCCCCAAAATGGTACCCATCGTTTGGGGAAACCACCATAAGTAGACATCAGGAGGTAACGACCAGCAATGTATTGGTGGTGAACAGTGGGCATCCCCAGTGTTAGGGTTTTGGGTCTAGGGTGGTGGCAGTAGCGCTCAAGAGAAGGACGAGTACGGCAGCAGCGCTCAAGGATCCTAATATCATATGAGCTTTAGTTTAAACTCCTTGAAGGGGGGTTATATAGGGGATTATATAGGGTAGTACTATAGGGGTTATTAAGGGGGATACTAGGACTTTAGACTATAGCTCATATAAGGCTCTGAATATGCGCTCTTAGGCCTTTTTGGGTGACTCTAGGGACCCTTAAGGGCCCATAAAGGAGGATGAAGTAGGTCTATAAGGATCCGGGCTTAAGGGCCCGTACTAAGGGCCCATGGTTTCAACCTTAGATTCAAGATCGTATTTTGCAGTTACATTGGTTCAGTTGTGTACACCAAGTGTCGTATTGCAGACCCTGCCAGGTGAACGCATTAGATCCTACGTCGACATTTAACAGCTTCTCAATGTTTTCCTTACATACTTTCTGATGAGGATCCCCATAATCTGCTTATAGTCCCTACAAATATATTCCTACGGCCCGAAGGCCCCCCCCCCTTTTTCAATGCTCCGAACCCAGCGTCCAGGCGTAGGGACCCTTGTATGCCTCGGACCCACCTGTTTGAGTGAATAAAGCAAGCACCAGGAAGGCGAACAGCTACCTCAGCTGCGGCCGCTGGAACACACGGTTTGTGAAGTCGAAGAAGTGAGGTTCCCCTTTTGTTGGGTTCAAGACTTAGGGCTGAAGCTTCAGTTGTTGATGGTTTAGGTCCTGTCCGGGCTTATGTAGAGATACCTGAGGTAGACTAGAGACCTCCACCCTAAACCCTAAACCCTAAACCCTAAACCCTAAACCCCTAAACCCTAAACCCCTAAACCCGAAACCCTACACCCGGGTCTTGTGGTTGTCAAGGTCTCGGTCCCGACTAGGTGCAAAAAAATCCCCAATGCGGGTCATGGTTTTGTCCATTTTCTTTTCAGTGGCTTTTACTTGGGATAGTCATGCTCTCAGTGCATAGGGGCTTAGCATGTATGTATGCTATACAGTATGGGAGTTGTAAGCAGATATGGGAATGCTCCCTATTTTCTTGTATAGGGAACGTTTTCAGTAATTTTAAAATCCTAGGAGACAAGCAGCTTTGCTGATGTTGCTGGTGCTTCCCATGGCGCCTCTACTCATTATTCTCCTGTGTGAGGAGCTTTCGGTGATTCAACAGTGCTCTGCGTCAATTATGCAATATTCCCTTAGCATTGATGGTGCTCTCTAGTTGCAATTTTGTGAGGACATTCAGTCAGCTATACTACAAGATTTCCGCCTGCTTTGCTACTACAGATGCCACATTTTGGATAGGGATACTCTAGTCCCGATCAATATTAAGGTTACATGAAGTACTTCCTTGCTTTGGTTGTAGTAGCCGATAAGAAGAGGTTAACCTTACTTGCCTAGCCACCAAAAACGATAGCATTCGCGTGGAGGTTGCTAAAATGTGGGTTGTTTTTGAGGGGAAATCGCCAAAGAAACACAGCGTGGGTGTTTCTCAAAACAGGGGGCTCTGGACCCTAATTTAGGGAGCTGTTGCATTAGAACAGGGTTTTTGGGGCATAACCTAATTCATCATGTAAGGGCTATAGGAGAATAACTTGGGAGAGTTGAGGATTCTAAGTGGGTTCCTGGCGTCCCTATTAGGGCTTATCTAATGAGCAATCAGTAAACGGCGATGTCGGTATACATTTCATTGCGGTAATGGATTCGTTTCATGGGGTTGCAAACTGGTATTCCCAAGCATGAAGGCAGTCCCTGAGAAATCCCCAACTCTCATGAAATTCCGCCTAATTAACTTGCTTGTTCTCAGTAAGGAATAGGGGATATGTTATAGGGCTTAGGATTTAGAATTAATAGGAAGTAAGGGAATACACTCCCTATATAATCGCTATAGAATATTATCCCTTATTCCCTACTAAGAACAAGTCAGTTAGCATATACAATGCAACAGGTGCATGACCAGATATCAGCAATACGCCGCACCTCTCTCAATATAGAGTAAGGCTGCATATTCTCCATTTGGGCATAGTAGCCTCAAGAAGAATAAGTTCTTACGTCGTTCAGCCACAGAAAGAACAATCTTAAACCCAATCCCTCAGTGATATAGTAAAGTAGATCTTTCCACTCGGTAGTATACGTCCCTGAATCAACCTAAGCACCCCCTCTATAGCCTTATTCTTATTGCCTTGGCCACCCAAAAGAAATCGTCACATCTCCCTGATGGGGAATGCTTTATAGTAGGGGTGTGGGGCGGTTTAACGTTAGTCCCACACACTAAATCCTAACATGTACGTATGACGGGCTTACTTCAAACCGAAACCCTACACCCTATACGCTAAACCCTAAACACCCTCTAAGATTCTTGTAGTACTATGTTACTATATGAGCCAGTGTCTAAACTCCTAGTGTCCCCCTTAATAAGCCCTGTAGCACTCCCTATATAATCCCGCTTTCAGGAGTTTAGACCCTAAACACTATACTCGAAACCCCTAACCCTAACCCCTGTTTAACCCCTATAACCCAAAACCCCAATCCCTATTTAAACCCAATAACCCTAAGCCCTAAACCCGTACACCCTAAACTCGTATGAGGGTATTCGTGAATATTTCCCTGAGTGCAGGCTAACGAAGAAGCAGATCAAGGAGCAGAACAAGGCCCAACACACATCCACTCCTCGTAGACACCGAAAGAAGGGTTTAGGTTAGGTTTTGGGGTTTGGGGCTTAGGGTTTAGGAGTTAGGTTTTAGGGTTTAGGGTGTAGTCATGATTGCCCGTTGCCTTCGAGCACTAGACTGTCTAGCTTTGCGATTTGAAGTGCCCCTAGCCCTAAACCCCATGCCTAAACCAAGACTACCGCAAACGTTAAACCCTAAACCCCGTACCGCATTACCCTAAACCCAAGCCACGAGGCCGTGCTGGCACTGCAGCAGCAGAAAGCAGCCATGCGTCCTGCAGAGCCTCCGGAGACCTGCTCTACGTTCAGTGTAATACTTTCAAACATAGACTTACCAACATTGCTAGACCTTTGGTTCTGTAGGGAGTCTATAGGGGTTCTATAGGGGTCACATAGGGGTTATATAGTTGATACAATTATTGAGGGAGGTCTAGGTACCCGTGGCACGACGCTGCCGAGGAATATGTCAAAAAGAGCGAGTTGAAAGTTGGCGACAGGGCATCTCTCCACGTGAAGTACGGTGATCACAAAGGCTGGGCAAAACTGCTTGGAGTCTGCTTCTTGTATGCAGGATAGGGTAGGGTAGGGTAGGGGGGTATAGGGTACCCTACCCTGATGTGAGCTCATGAGTGCTAAGCCCATTTGCTATCATTCTTTTCTTTCGCGCTGGCTTTATGGTCTCTGTCTCTGTCCTTGTATTCCTGGTAGGTTAAAGGAAATATAATTCCCATATAATCCCTGTAAAGTCTATTTCCCTTTTCCCTACTAGCCCTAAACCCTAATCCCTAAACCTTAAACTATATATATATACATATATATATTTGTATGTATATCTATATTCATTCCCTCATTCCCCACTGACCCCCAGTAAGTTGTGCCTGTCTGAGCATCTCCCTCCCTTCCTGCGCCTCCTCAATGCTCTCGCTCTCCACGATAGCATGCGCTTTGTTGCTTCACCCTAAGGGTCCATGTGCCCAATACTTAGGTCTCTTTATGGGAATATATATACATATATATAGTGTATATAGGGGTATCTAATTCCGGGTCCAAGTAATCCATAATTGGGTACTTGGGGTTCTGGTACGCAACTATAGTCTAGGTTTGGGGAAGTATATGATTCTTGTATGCTTGGTCCCTTAGGGTGACATTCAAGCTGCCGCTTGCGAAGGCCACTATGCAGTGCGCATTGTGGGAATAGAGGAGAAGGGCCTCCGGATACAGCATGAGAAGGACGATGCACGGAGATCTTGCATTAATGTCGGAGCTTGCAGGAAATTGCAGATTTTTCTCAAAAACTCCATCTCAAGACCCTGGCAGGACGGCTATGAGGAAGTCGTCAAGCAGCGGGTGCCTTGACCACCAGAAGACAAACAAGTGCTTTTCAAGTATCATTGGTGATGGTCAGTCCGGTTCTAGCATGCAGTTCTGCAAGCTGTTGTATCACAAGTGCGTTGCCGAAATGTTGAGCCCAAGGAACTTAAGTTAAGTTACTCATCTTATGGTAACTCAATTCCAGTTGGTAAGCAGCAACGCAGCTCATGCTGTAGAAGCTGCTTGCATCCCTTGTAATTCTTGTCTCTCCTTGGAGTCCCTAAAGCCCAACTCCTACATGATTCCTGTAGAACCCCAAGCACTCAACTTCTATATGATTCCTACAGAACTTAAGCACTCAACTCCTAAACCCTAAACCCTAAATTCTAAACCCTAAATCCTAAACCCTAAGTCCTAAACCCTAAATCCTAGACCCTAAGCCCTAAACCCTAAATCTATAGGATTCCTATAGACTCTCAGGACATCAAGTCCGGCAAGCTGACGATCAGCGCTTCGCGGTCGCAGTGCTGGATCCTTCAAATGAGCCATAGTCTAAACTCCTTAAGGGGGGTTATATAGGGGATTATATAGGGGATTACTATAGGGGTTGTTAAGGGGGATACTAGGAGTTTAGACTATAGCTCAAATGGGATTGGGATCCCTTGAAAGGTTAGTGTAGAAGCCTGAGTCATTACGAATATTGTGGATCGCGACCCCTACACATATATGTAGAGTAGGATTTGAAGTTATGATCTCCCAACTTTGACAGCCAGTGTATACTTCCACCATTATTATTCCTAAGGAATCCTACATGCACTCACCAAGAAGCATCATGCCAACCATACTTCACACAGGGGTTCTTACAAAAGGGATACTACTTCGGGTACTTGCCCAAATGGAGACTCAAATGTTACAGACATCGAATGCCAGATGTTGGTAGGGGCCTTTTGGGAGCCCCCATTTTAGGGGTCGATAGCCCCTCACATTTCTGGACCCAAGCCCTAAGACCTAAACCCTAAACCCTAAATAGTAGTTTCCATTCCTTTTCCATTATCCCAATAGAACTCCAAAATCTATATAACCCCTATAACCCCTGTAGTTTCCACTTTCCTTTCCATTATCCCAATCTACATCATCCCGGTGCACCCGGCATGACTTCAGAGCAACCTCGTGTGATATTTTCACATAGAAGTTCTTTCAGCAGGTTGGCATGCCTACACATGGTGGTTGATCAAAATACCTGTCCCTAATATGGCCATAGTGTATTTTCCCTGTTAGGTTCGGATTCCTTTTAAGGAAGTGTATTTGAAAATGGCCCCTTCGCTACAGGGACCTTTAGAACAACCCCCACATGATGATCAGGTTGTGTCATGAGACGGCATGACTCTGAGTCCTGGATCGGCTAGCTGGATGCTGATGTAGACCCGCGTTCTCTGTGCCAGCTTCGATTTTTTTTCTACGGGCTCAGGGCACAAGTATTCTGAGTCCCTAGCGGCTAAAACGCTAAAACAATCAGCAATTGATTTCCATTGGGCCATTGTAGCAGCTGCAGCATGAGAAGCGGGGCTGTGTTGTACATATGGCGCGCTGCGTCTTGCCGCAAGCGCCTGTTTCACTTGACATGGTTTAAGGAACCAATCCAGCAAAAGAGCTCCTGTAGAGTTCCGCATAGGCCGCAGCATACAACACAACGAATCCGTCCAGTGGTTTAGGGCTTAGGGTTTAGGGCATGTTGGGATTCCCGAAACGATCGGTCCTTTGCGGTGCGCTTAGACTGTCGTAGGGATTGTTTTCTTTGTGTGTATATATCACCGGGAAAGTACCCGCTTGACTATTTTCTGCGTCAGATGCGAATTCCCGCAAAAGGGGTCCCAATCATACACGCACACAAATATTGCAATCATCACCCATGTTATATAGAGCCCCCTACAAGGGACCCCAAACTTTTTTGGAACCCCCCCTTTTGGGACTATCTCTCAGAATCCTCACTTTGACTGAAGAGGGGGTCCTGGTGATTACCGCTTCACAGCGTTCACGCGTCAAATGCTGCGCCATCCGGAATCCGGAGCCCCTAAACCCTAAACCCTGAGCCCGAAATGACAGCATTTCCAGAATGTGGGACTGAACTCTGAGTGGGGCACCCTAAACCCTAAACCGCATACCCAGACCCCCAAAAGGATCTGAAAATTAACTCCCTTAGAACCATAGGGGAAGTTATATAAGGATTATATGGGGGTTAATAATGGATCTATATAGGGGATCTAAGTTTTACACCCTCCCAGGGGTCTAGGTAGCTGAAAACAAGCTGGGCTAGACCTATCGGCCCCATGCTTGCGTGTATCCGTCCATCCGTCCTTTTCGCCTAGTTCTGAGGCACAAGTGCTGAACAATCACAGGGTTCCTCTGGGTTTAGGATTTCGGTTTTAGGGTGATGCGGGGCTGGATCCCTGCAGTTGTACTTCTCGAACTGCGGGGATAAGGGCCTAGTCGTTGACATCGGCCGCAAAACCATAGGAAAGGCACGGAACCTAAACTACTGATCCCAAACTTCGAACCCCAAACCCTGAACTCTAAATCCTGAGCCTTAAACTAACCCTAAACTTGGAAAAAAGCAAGCCCAAATCCCAATCCCAAGACCCCCAATGACTCACTGAATGGTTAGTAGCGGAGAATAAGGGTTCTGTCCTATAAAATCTCTAACCCTTGAAAACTTAAATCGTATACCGTATACCCAAGCTCCCTAAACCCTAAACCCTAAAAACAAATCGTAAACGCTTAAAACAAACCCTAAGCCATAAACCCTCACCCCTAAATCCTAAACCCTAAACCCTGTACCCTAAACCCTAAATCCCATGACTGGGTTGCTGTTGAGGAACTTAATAAGTTACCATAATGGGTGTATATAGTAAATAATAGGGTTTCCCAAATACAGTAACTTAATTTAAGTCACTTAAATCCCAAAATTCCACCAGTTTCCATTTCATTTTCCATTTCCTTTTCCATTTAATTCTCCATTATAAGGGGATAATATAGTAACTTAA